TCCAGGTGTGTCCAACTATCGCCCTCTAGTGTCTCATAGTGTTACCCCACATAGAATTTTTAATTCCATTACTCCAAGTATATGGAAAACGGTGACAGAAATTTCATTCTGTTACAACCTTGTTAATGGAAAGACATCTGTTTGCAGTAATCTTAGTAAAAGTAATCTACACACTGTTGGTAATAACAGTGGCATCTGAAGAGGAAGGGGGATCCAGGGACAGCTCCATCCAGAACAGAGTAAAGTCACAAACTGAATGTCATAATGACACAAGACACATATGTACAATATTTTATGAGGTCACTTACAACAGCTTTTAAAAACCTTTTTATTGGTCAAATGTTCACGATGCGATTGGTCGGACTTGAAAGTTCAAATTATTTTAAATGATAATGTGTGATTATTTGACACTGTACAATAGTTTTATATATATTTAAAACATTTACTTGATTATTTCCCATGTAAAAAAGCTTTGTATAAAGTTTTCTAACAGGTTGCCATTTAGAAATCAAGGAGATATATGCATTATAGGATATAGGCATTTCCATAGTTTGATATAGATGAAATGTGTATACAAAATATGTGATAAATAAAGACAAGTTAAGGATCAACCACTATGAATGTGTTATTTATTTATTTTATGAGACTATTCTCTGAACAAACTCCCAGATACATGTCATGTTGTCTTGGATGCTCATAGAATGAAGTAGACTATAAAATAAATAATTTATATATATTATATACTATTAATAATAGTGTGTCTGAAAATTAAAAAAAAAAAAATTAATTTCTCTATTTTTTTTATTGAAGAAAGTACAGAAACAGTATAATGAAAACTCATAAATAAACCAACTCAAAAGTGTTAACAATTGATGTGCAAAACAAACAAACAAAAATACTATTTATTATTACAACAGAAGAAAGAATGAACGCCAAAAAAAAAACCAAAAAAAAATAAAGAGGAATCCAGCACATTGGGCACCTGTAGAAATCGGAAACTAAACAGTGTCTACATCTGCCACCCACTCCAATGGCCACTTCTTTCCACTGTAACACAAAAAGGAAGGATGCAATTAGATGTTTTGGTTATGCAGACAAACTGTAGACACATTAATGCACATATTAAAGGGATAGTTCACCCAAAAATGAAATTCTGTCATCATTTACTCACCCTCATGTCGTTCCAAACAGTTGGTGGCTCCCATTGACTTCCATAGTAGGAAAATAAATACTATGGAAGTCAATAGGAACCACCAACTGTTTGTAAATGATGACAGAAGTTTCATTTTTGGGTGAACTATCCCTTTAAGACTCCTGTAGCTGTTTTCCAATAGCTATGTTTTAGAGGGGTTTCATTACATCACAGTAGGTTAATGTTAGTCAACAATGCAGAAGAAAATCCTTAATTGTTCTTTTAAGTCAAGAAAAATAGTGAAGAACATAAGTTGGATGTCTTGTGTTGTTACCGTGTATATAATCTGTTATGTTTCCTACATGAATATACCAAGATGGCGGCGCGTTCACACGCTGCGACTTCTCTCTCTCCCGACAGAAAGGTGTTTTCGTGTTTTTTTGTCTTGTGAGTTGCAGTGTTTTTGTACGCATTCGTCGCGTCTATTTGTTTCAAAGCGCGCATATAGTCGTGAGTTTCTGCTCGATGTCGGCAGAACCACATTTTTAGAGTTAAACTCTGCGCACGCCGAAGAGCTGCGGGATCTCGGTCTGCTCCGGAGGCCCACTCCATCACCAACCCCCACTACTGCACCTCGCCCACAGCGGAGGCGCCACAAGCGGCGCGAGAGGAAGCAGAAGAGGGGTAAGTGCGGAGGTATCCGGGCTAGGCTAGCGGCTAACCCACACAAGCCGGCTATCCCCACCATCACCGACCCCCACTACTGCATCTCGCCCACAGCGGAGGCGCCACAAGCGGCGTGAGAGGAAGCAGAAGAGGGGTAAGCGCGGAGGTATCCGGGCTAGGCTAGCGGCTAACCCACACAAGCCGGCTATCCCCACCATCGTACTGGCTAACGTACGCTCTTTGGACAATAAACTGGACTACATCTGACTACTACGCTCAACTCAGATGACTGTAAGAGACTGTTGTGTTTTTGTGTTCACGGAAACATGGCTCAACAACAGCGTTCCGAACTGCGCTATTCATCTCAATCAGCTGACATGCTATCGAGCGGACTGAACTCGCGTCGAGGGAGGTAAGACCCGCGGCGGAGGGCTTTGTGTTTACATCAATGATGCGTGGTGCCGCAGACAAGAATGGGACAACATTCCTATTCCTAAACTTGAGCAACTTGTCTCTTCAGTCCCCAGACGTTTGCAGACTGTTATAAAAAGAAGAGGGGATGCCACACAGTGGTAAACATGGCCTTGTCCCAACTTTAAGATGTGCTGATGCCATGACATTTAAAATGATACATTTTCTCAGTTTAAACATTTGATGTCATCTGTTGTATTCTGAATAAAATATTGAAATTTGAAACTTCCACATCATTGCATTCTGTTTTTATTCACAATTTGTACAGTGTCCCAACTTTTTTGGAATTGGGTTTGTAGATAAAAGGAAAAAACATCAGACCTGTCTAAAATCAAAGACTTTCTCACTCCCAAAACTCTACCAATGGCTGTTCATGCATGTGTTACATCTCGGCTAGATTACTGCAATTCCTTACATTGAGGTATATCTAAATCTCAGATTGCGTGCCTTCATCTAGTCCAAAACGCTGCGGCCAGACTTCTTCTGAAGTGTCGCAAACATGAACACATCACTCCAATTCTCAGATCTCTACACTGTTTGCCGGTTCATCAGAGAATAGACTTCAAAATTCTACTCTGTTTATAAATCTTTACATAACCTAGCCCCTGTCTACCTCTCTGAACTCCTTCATTTATACACTCCATCTAGAAGCCTAAGATCTTGCGACCAGGCTTGTTGGTAGTTCCACATTTTAGACTTAAGCGTAGAGGGGAGCGTGCATTTGCGGTGGCAGGGCCACAAATTTGGAATACCCTGCCTTTAGAAATGAGAATGGCCCCTTCTCTGGCTGTTTGTTTTCCTTAGTGTACCGATTACTGTTATTTGGTAACTTTTTAAATGGGTTGTTCATATTTTTATCTGGTTTGCTTTCTGTGTATGCTTTTATAATTTTCTCTTCTGTAAAGCACTTTGGTCAGCCTAGTGGCTGTTGTAAATGTGCTATACAAATAAAATGAACTTGAACTATGGCTTTCATGTAATGCAGGCTGTGTAGTTTGGCAATAATAACTTAATCATTATTGTCCATAACTGTATTTTTGGTGTGCATGCAATTGCAGTAGGTGTTACAGTAAGTGCGAAATAAGATACTGCAGACTGACAAATTAAGGGAAAAAACAAAAAAGTGTCTTATTATGGTGTTGGGCCACCAAGATCCAACATAACAGCTTCAGGTTTTTGGTACTCTGCACCACCATCATCAAAACACCAAATGAAAGCATATCTTTTGGATGAATGGAGCTCCATCCTCCTGCCCCCAGTAGAGTACAAAGACTAAGAGAATCTATGTCAAAGAGCATGAAGCTCTTCTGGGGGCACGTAGTGACCTAACACCCTACTAAGACACTTTGTGTTGGTTATATTAAGAGATATGAGCAAGTACTGACCACCCATTTAACAGCTATTTAGACAAACTTAGAAATGTACTAACATATGTCAAAAGTTTGTACTTGTTCAAACTAATTGACTATGTATACACATGAGAAGTCGTACATGCCATAGTCTGCATGGCTCCCACTCCACCTGCTTCCATTTTTGGCCCTAAAAATAGTGAGATTTTTTTCAGTTTTAAATATTTGCTAAGCTTAGCAGTTCTACAAATCGCCAATACTTTTTCAAGACAGTTACACAAATAACAGAAATTATCAGTCCCTTTCGTCAGGAACATTATGTAGCTTATGTAGTGTTTGAGTGATTTTATATTTCACCTTAATAACTCTGCATTTGGCAATCCTCTTCACATGGTAAAAACCCTGGCTCCCTGTCAGTGTGTGTGTGAGCATTCTGAAAGGAAAAAAAAATATTACATTCACACTACACTATACAAGTAGAATAAGTGATTATTTAGCTAGCATAGGTTGTACTTAGTCACAGTTTTCATATTGTAGTTATTCTGGTGAAGAAGTTGTATTGAAGACAAACTATTATTCACCATCCGCTTAGAGGGGAGCGTGCATTTGCGGTGGCAGGGCCACAAATTTGGAATACCCTGCCTTTAGAAATGAGAATGGCCCCTTCTCTGGCTGTTTGTTTTCCTTAGTGTACCGATTACTGTTATTTGGTAACTTTTTAAATGGGTTGTTCATATTTTTATCTGGTTTGCTTTCTGTGTATGCTTTTATAATTTTCTCTTCTGTAAAGCACTTTGGTCAGCCTAGTGGCTGTTGTAAATGTGCTATACAAATAAAATGAACTTGAACTATGGCTTTCATGTAATGCAGGCTGTGTAGTTTGGCAATAATAACTTAATCATTATTGTCCATAACTGTATTTTTGGTGTGCATGCAATTGCAGTAGGTGTTACAGTAAGTGCGAAATAAGATATACTGCAGACTGACAAATTAAGGGAAAAAACAACAAAGTGTCTTATTATGGTGTTGGGCCACCAAGATCCAACATAACAGCTTCAGGTTTTTGGTACTCTGCACCACCATTATCAAAACACCAAATGAAAGCATATCTTTTGGATGAATGGAGCTCCATCCTCCTGCCCCCAGTAGAGTACAAAGACTAAGAGAATCTATGTCAAAGAGCATGAAGCTCTTCTGGGGGCACGTAGTGACCTAACACCCTACTAAGACACTTTGTGTTGGTTATATTAAGAGATATGAGCAAGTACTGACCACCCATTTAACAGCTATTTAGACAAACTTAGAAATGTACTAACATATGTCAAAAGTTTGTACTTGTTCAAACTAATTGACTATGTATACACATGAGAAGTCGTACATGCCATAGTCTGCATGGCTCCCACTCCACCTGCTTCCATTTTTGGCCCTAAAAATAGTGAGATTTTTTTCAGTTTTAAATATTTGCTAAGCTTAGCAGTTCTACAAATCGCCAATACTTTTTCAAGACAGTTACACAAATAACAGAAATTATCAGTCCCTTTCGTCAGGAACATTATGTAGCTTATGTAGTGTTTGAGTGATTTTATATTTCACCTTAATAACTCTGCATTTGGCAATCCTCTTCACATGGTAAAAACCCTGGCTCCCTGTCAGTGTGTGTGTGAGCATTCTGAAAGGAAAAAAAAATATTACATTCACACTACACTATACAAGTAGAATAAGTGATTATTTAGCTAGCATAGGTTGTACTTAGTCACAGTTTTCATATTGTAGTTATTCTGGTGAAGAAGTTGTATTGAAGACAAACTATTATTCACCATCCGCTAATATTGGATTACTCAAACAGGATTACTTAAACAGAGAACAAGTCATGGCCCATACCAGTGTTCTGACATGGAGTCCAGATCAAGCAAAAAATTTGGTAAATTCCAAGGCGAGACAGAGACCTTAAAAAAAAGGGGTCTTGAGACCAAGACCAATTTTGAATACTAAAACCAGGGTTCCTACACATTTTCCATTTCAAAATTCCAGACCATATTACAGATCTGAGTATAAATAGCTAGATGTTTATTATGTAAATGAATAGTTTTAAAATCCAACTATTAACATGTATGTTGCATTCTGACTTTGTCTGCTATTATGCTGCTAAATAATTGCCAGACAATTGTAGCTAGGTACTGCAGCTCATACAAATCAGTTTTGTGGCATTCAGTCCACAGTCCTATATAGAAATGAACCCTGTTTAACAGCTTCCATAAACACACTGCTGTCATTGCACATAAGGACTGTTTATTAATTCACAACTCACAACAGGCCATGATACACTGCATTCAGTACAAGCTCCCTCCTGAATATACCAGCTATCACTGACTGACAGTGATCGATGGGCAAAGGGATCATAGATGAAATTTAGCTTGAAAGTCATTTAACTGTCAATTGTCCCAGTTAAATAGGCTGAACAATTTTGAAAAATAAAAATTGTTCAGCCTATTTAACTGGGACAATTGACAGTTAAATGATTTTGACTGATATTGCAATTATGATATGATCTGTGATATTGAAGGGAATTATAATTTTTACACAATTATACTAATTTTCACTGAAAAACTTTAAAATTATCGTGGTGTGATTTTTGCAAGGATTTATATCAAACAAAGAATTTTTCTTAAAGGGGTTTCTTCACCCAAAAATGAAAATGCTGCCATTAATTACCATTAGTTTTGTGGATCCAAACCTGTAAGACCTTCTTTCAACTTCAGAACAAAAAAAATTAAGATTTTTGGTGAAATCCGAGAGCTTTCTGACTCTTCCATAGACAGCAACAAAACTGAAATGTTCCCAGACCAAGCAACACATTAAGGACATCGGTAAAATTGTCCATGTGAAATCATTGGTTCAACGATAATTTCACAAAGATGTGAGAATACTTTTTGTGCTCAAACTTTATTCAACAATTATTTTCTCCAACTCATCATAATTCACGATTATGGAGACTACCACGATGCATGCGTGTGCTGCTGCTGCTGCTGCAGAACATGCATGCGCTGTTTTTACACAATTATACTAATTTTCACTGAAAAACTTTAAAATTATCGTGGTGTGATTTTTGCAAGGATTTATATCAAACAAAGAATTTTTCTTAAAGGGGTTTCTTCACCCAAAAATGAAAATGCTGCCATTAATTACCATTAGTTTTGTGGATCCAAACCTGTAAGACCTTCTTTCAACTTCAGAACAAAAAAATTAAGATTTTTGGTGAAATCCGAGAGCTTTCTGACTCTTCCATAGACAGCAACAAAACTGAAATGTTCCCAGACCAAGCAACACATTAAGGACATCGGTAAAATTGTCCATGTGAAATCATTGGTTCAACGATAATTTCACAAAGATGTGAGAATACTTTTTGTGCTCAAACTTTATTCAACAATTATTTTCTCCAACTCATCATAATTCACGATTATGGAGACTACCACGATGCATGCGTGTGCTGCTGCAGAACATGCATGCGCTGTGCTGCATTTTGTTTATGTGCAGAGGAACAAACATGCATGCTTCGTGGTACACTCGATAATGGTGTAATACGTGATTTGGAGGAGTATAATTGTTGAATACAATGGTTATTTTTGTTTTCTTTGGACACAAAATGTATTCTCTGAGCTTCATAAAATTACAGTTGAAACACTGATGTCACATGGACTGTTTTACCGATGTCCTTGCAACCTTTCTGGCTCTGGGAACATTTCAGTTATGCTGCTGTCTATGGAGGGTCAGAAAGCTCTCGTATTTAAAAAAAATAAAATAAAAAATCTTAATTTGTGTTCTGAAGATGAACAAAGGTCTTGCGGGTTTGGAATGACACAAGGGTAAGTAATTAATGACAGAGTTTTCTTTTTTAGGCCAACTATCCCTTTAAAGCTGTAGAATATGATATGTAGGCTAGAACATCTTTGAAGCACAATATTTAATTTAAAATGCTATTTTTACACACCTTTTGCACAAATATTGCACCTCGTGAATTGAAAATTACAGAAGGCTATACTGTGATTTCGAAAAGATTTCGATTAATTGTTCACCTCTACTGTAAAATAAAAAAATGAACAAATACATCTGGACATTGCCCAAACCTAATACACCACTTACAAATGGAAATACAGCCTTCATGAAGACAACAATTAATGTCAATTACAATGTATGGATTTATGTCACGGCAGAGAAGAGTCAGGATCCAGGCTTAATTTTGGATACATGAAACGCCGGATTAATTCTCCTGTACGCTGGAGGAAGTTTGAGGCGGACTGCCACCGGACTAATAATCTTGGTGACAGTAAACGGGCCAATGAATTTGGGAGCAAGCTTATTACTGACGGATCGGAGAGGAATATTCTTGGTTGAAAGCCACACCTTTTGACCGACGACGTAAACGGGAGGTTTCGACCGGTGGCGATCGGCCTGGACCTTGGTGCGCGCCCCCACCTGGAGGAGGGTCACCCTGGCCTTGCTCCAGGTGCGTCGGCACCTCTGGACGAATGCGTGGGCAGAGGGGACCGCGACTTCGGATTCCATACTAGGAAAAAGGGGTGGCTGGTACCCTAAGCTACACTCAAACGGAGATAGACCCGTGGCAGAGACTGGTAACGAGTTATGTGCGTACTCAACCCATGAGAGTTGCTGGCTCCACGAGGAGGGGTTCTGAGAAGCCAAACATCGCAACACTCGTTCTAAATCTTGGTTGGCCCTCTCTGTCTGACCATTACTCTGGGGATGAAACCCGGAAGAAAGACTAACCGTCGCCCCCAACAATCCACAAAACTCTCTCCAAAATTTGGACACAAACTGGGGCCCCCTGTCAGAGACCACGTCTACCGGGAGGCCATGTAAACGAAAAACGTGGTCTATGACAGCAACTGCGTTTCTCTGGCTGAGGGTAATTTGGGCAGAGAAATGAAATGAGTTGCCTTCGAGAATCGGTCCACCACGGTCAAAACCACCATGTTCCCCTGAGAAGGGGGAAGACCCGAGACAAAATCTAGCGAAACATGGGACCAGGGTCTCGAAGGAACCAACAGCGGCTGAAGAAGACCCGCGGGAGGGCGATTGGAAGACTTAGAAACAGCACAGACAGAGCAGGCCAAAACAAATAAACCAATGTCCCGAGCCATACCTGACCACCAGAACCGTTGTTTAACCAGAAACATGGTACGTCTCACCCCAGGATGACAGGCTACCTTGGAAGAATGAGCCCATCGGATAACGTCGGACCTTACGGACTCTGGCACAAACAACCGGCTCGGTGGGCACCCGGACGGGGGCGTTACCCCTTGAGAGGCCGTGCGGACCTTTGACTCGATCTCCCACGTGACCGCAGAAAAAAAAGTTCCCTTGGCACAATGGGGTCGGGCAGGGACGGGTGCTCCGAATAATCAAAAATACGGGATAACGCATCCGCCGGTAGAAATTGGCAAAGCCCAGAAACCTCTGCAGGGCCTTACGGGAATCTGGGGTTGGCCAATTCACCACAGCCTGAACCTTCTCTGAACCTTCTCGGAATCCATGCGCACCCCCTCGGCCGAGATGATGTATCCC